TTTGGCACATGAAAGCGAAATTTGAATATCAGACACTTGCACTGGTGCAAGATTATGCCAAAATTTCATGTTTTCCGTCCCATTTTTAAAAATATAATGCCAAATAAATGGCCTTTTTAGAAAGTGAACCATGGATGGGGAAATGTTGGCAGTTTTCTCAAAACATGCTTGAATTCAAGAAGTTTTAGATTTGCGTAGTTTGTTTTTGAGTTGCAAAATCCACTTGAACATGACGCTGCTTTTTTTGAAGTTTCTCAAGAACCATTCGAGCCAGAGAATTCGTTTTGGCATCGTTGGATAGAGAATTGAATGGGGGGGTCATGACCCCCATGATCCCCCCTGGATCCGCCCTTGCATTAGCGGGGTTAGTTGTCTTCGGAAAGTCGATGTGTGAGAGTGAGAAAAGGATTTAGATTAGAAAAAGTTTTTTTTTTCGGTTAAAAATCAATAATTTACTATTTTTAACGCTTGTGTTGGCAGATAAAGCAGCAAATGACAAATATCTCCTGCAGCTTAGTGGTTTCGCTGCGCGAATAATCCCATCAAGCCAAAAGGATTTACATAATATTATTGCCTGAGATTGTCGGTGCAGGATTGTTGCCTAATTTAATTTCTATCTTACGGCACAATATTTTTTTAACTGAAAGCTGAGCACTGTTCGAAGGCCTGCACGATGAAAAAACCAACATTTAATTAGGGTGTTCGGAAAAAAATAACTCTGTTGACAGATTTTGATGGCGACGAACAAATGGTCGAGGGGAAGTTTGTGCGTTCGTGCCATTTATCACGTATACGTGAGAGGGTAGACGACTATACCGGCCCCAAACCTCTAACTCATAAATACCAATATCGTTCACTCATTAATCCTGTAAACTCTAATACGTCGTTTCCGCGTTCTTCCGCATCATCCCTTTCCTTTTTAGATGGGAGCCAACCCCCTCGACCTCTATACAGACGGGGTTGTCGGATTTACGACTCGTTCCAATAAAAAAACCTGTTCTAGATCAGGGTAAGCGCATAAATTATTTATTAATGGCTTTATTCATTTGAGCGGAAAAATTAATCCTAGTATTAGTGATTTGTCGTAAGCGGGGAATAGCAGGAATTTACATTTTAAAAACGTAAAAAATTTACTATTATTTGCCTGAAATCTTGGTGTTTACTTTCTTCTATCTGTACAATAATTTAAAAGAATCAGAAAAATTGGAAATTTTACTTTTGCTGGTCACTTTGGTTTCGTGTTGTTCACTTCTGGCAATTTTTCAGCCTTATTTAAAGTTTGCACTGAGTTAAGTCGGTTTTGAATTAATCTATGAATGTTCGAGCTCAGATAATATCAACTGATGAATTTTTCGGGCTTTGATGCCGTCGTGGAAAATAATGTCTCCCTGACGTTTCGCACGCACTTATGGCTTCCATCTTCAGGGTGGTGCTGCGCCGAGCCCCTCCTTGCCTTAAAGTCCGAAAAAATCAGTGTTAATCACTCCCGTCTAAGCTGCCCAGCAAAAAACCTCTGAGGATGTAAGCCATTCGTGTTGGCAAAACGTCGCGAATGTTTTGCTTGATATCCCTTGGGCTTCCCAAGTAATCCTAGCTAAATAAAACTGGCGTCAATGTTGGGCTACCCGGTTTATGGGCGTGTTGCACTTTATCTGTCCCGTACTTAACCTATATTGTGATATCTATCCATGGAATCTGTCCAGACAGGGGCGGCAGTTGGCAACAGTGGGCGACCACGCCGTTTTGTTTTGGGGAAGATAAAATAGGCCGCCAGGCTTAGAAATGGGGTCGATCAATGTAACTGGGTGGATGAGGATGTGATGGGGTTGCATGCTCGGGACCAGACTGCATCGCTGCAAAATGCGCAATTTCTTATCAGGCGCAATTGTTCTCGGTTGGAGAATGTCCGGATAGTCTGATCACTATCTAATGAAAAATTCCGCGATTTTGAGGAGCAATATGAACATTTTATGCGAAAATCGACGGGAAATGTGCCATAGGGCACGGATGAGTTTGGAGCGTTTAATTAATTTTGTTTCACTAATGAAAAAAATTGATAATGGGGGATTTTTGATATTTTGAAACATTTATTTTTAAATTGAAATACAGTTTTTAATGCGTTTTTTTATTTTTAATTGTTGGAGTGACATTCTTATTGACAGATGACGTTTTAATTAATAGTTCCAAAGCCTTCTAGAAACATTTTCCACGGTATTTTTGAATTATTGGAAACATTTATATCATTGAATTGAGAACAAAATAAGAAGTCTGAGCCAATTATAAACAATTTTCATTAAAAAACGCAAGTTTCTTTAGTATTCGGCAAATTAAGCAACCATAATTACTTCTATTAGACGCAACATAAAAAAATTACCAAATATAGCTTTAGTTAGCATCATTTTATTCCGTCCTTAAAAAATCAAGAAATTAATCTCTTGGTAACCATTAGGCCTAAAGACAATTTCGCGTAGAATTTTAAACATCTTGGTGAGTCGTAAGTTCCTGAGTTATGAAAAGTGTTAAATGGATTGATTTTTCAGTTATACCACAGTACAACATTTAATGGTTTTTGTGCTGCGTAATATGAAAATAAGGGGCGAATCTAAGCATCGGTTGGCGCAGTCTTCCATTAATCAGACCCCCAAATGAATTAACAGTTTATTTCCAGGAAATGAGCCCTATATTTAGGATGGCTTTTACCACTACGTTGCCGTTCAGTTCTATCGATCAGTCGCCTGAAAGTACGGCGTAGTAGATGACGTAGCAAAAGAGGGCGGCCTGATTGCCCTAAAACCCTGCGCCAACCCCCCATCAAGAAGCAGTCGGCGCGAATATTCCACTTAGCTGGGACGTACGTCTGCATAACACTATGATGGGGTGGAAGAAGATGGAAACAGACGAGGGAGGTGAGATGACTGTTGATCGCTTTGGCGAGTCATCAACAGACCTTAGGTATGAATGACCTGAGAGTGGAATGCACTGGCGCGAAACGCGAATAGTATAGAACGGGCCTTATGAAAATAATCATGGCTCTCAGTCGGCTTTTGTAATTAGTTTTCGTGCTTGTTGGGGCTTCAGAAATAATAATAATTGCTCATTTTAGTCAGCAGCGTTACATATGTTTGCAGGTTTTTCTAAATTTTGCCTCCACTTGTATGTGGAAACTGACAAGAAATTTTAATTTCTAAATTGCAAAAAGGTTTTTTTTAAATCACTTAAACTTCAGTGGCGCAGTACAAAAATATTGACAAGTTGACATTCGAAGGTGTCTAATGTATTTGTTGTGCCACTGATTGGGCAACAAAAATGTCAGATAGTGTCAAATTAAGGTCGTGTCCGACAGGTTTGGAACAACAAATACATCAAACACTTTTGGTTGCCAAAGTTGTGCGATTATCTTCAAGCACAACACTGGTTTGGACGCGCAAACATTCTAAAATTGCCATTTTCAGCTTTTGCCTCTCAATCAGTGTCGTGCTCGAAGGGCTCGGCACAAAAAACGCATTAAAGAGGATTCAATGATCGGCATTGAATCCTCGGAGACGAAGTGCTTCCGTAACTACGTTTATATGGATTTTTCGCGAGGTTTGAGAGAAAATTGAACCACCCTGTATAATGGAAAGGGACAAGACAACTGGCGAGCACACGAGGAAAGGAGACAAAAACATATTTTTTAAATTAAAATCTGAAATGAGGAAAGTGGTCAAAATCGCACTTTGCGAACAACACCACTAAGAAACGTTGTAGGTACAGGCATTTTTTATAAGTGAGCAAGCGCTGATAAACTAGCTTGACCTTTGGTAAAATTTTTGACGTTTGAGGTTAACAACCTCTCAGTTTTCGAATAGTGTTGCTGAAGAGCGCATAATCCAAGTAAATTACTATAAGCAAGCAATTCCCGCAACTGAATGAACTGAACGTAAAATTCCTACTTCATTTTTAGCCAATTTGCGAGGTCTTTCACCCATCAGACTCGAACGACGCTCGACAATCCCATCACTTCATGCAAGTCCCAGCCAATACGTGGGGAGCCCTCTATGCGTATCTATTCAAACTACCGATCATCCAGTGCAGTATTCTTCAAAGAAAACTCCAAAAGTTCGTCGGCAGTTTATGAACCGACATATTTCTCTATATGTATTTCACACTATCGCGTTGACTAACCAAGACACGTATGTCGTAGTAGACACGTGCCTAAGCCTGTCAGTTTGACGTCATATAGTAAAAAGATACTAAAATAGTTTGTCAAACTCGCGAGGTTTTCGACACGAGATAACGTCAGAAACACAGATTTCGGTCGTGGAAGTCTTTTAAATGACCTTAGGAGGATAGTGAATAAAAGTTTCGGTCGCCCTCTGTTTCGCCAACCTTAAGAAGTCGTACAAGTTTAATTGACAAAAATCAACCATGTTCCGGACTGTAATTCTCAAAAGCGATGTCACCAAGGAGGTGGTTAGAATAGCCTTTCGTACACAATGTTATCGGAACCTGGCCACTCAATGTGTGAGGAGCAGACACTCTCACAGGTAATGCATTTTTGCGGCTTTCCTGCCGTTCAATTCGTCCTCGATTTACTTACATAATCACGGTTTAAACTGACATAACAAGTCCTCACCTGTATGGCTTTCAGCCCCTTCAATTGAGGTCTTAGCCGTTCTATAGGTATTTATCTAGATTCTTTAACATCAAGTGGTATTTGCTTGCACTCAAAGATAAGAACATGTGTACCCTCAATTCAATGTTATGCAACATTGAAAAAAAATTGATCCATTTATGTAGTTAGAACATGTGCGGGCCTTCGGGGTCACTTTGAGGGTAACCATTGAAATGCAATAGCATTATCCATTTAATGATCAAGTGCATTTAATGAAAAGATTGCTTGAATAATTTGCACTAAATGTTTCAACACACACGTTTAGTTTTTTGGTTTATTCGGCTTCCTTTTTAAAATTTTTGCAGCCCCAAAAATTGCCTATTTGAACTTGATACGCTGCAAGTTTGTTATTTTGAGTAAAACTCGCATATTTGTTGGTCATTAAAATCAGGGTCGAATCACTTGAACTTGAGTAGAAAGTAACATTAGGAACATAGAACAAATTAGGAACTTGGAAACCTTCGGATTCATGCCGCTTGAGTATCTACATTGTTGAAAATTTCCGAAGCTTTGGATTTTAAAAAGCTCACTTATTTTATGAATTAAAATATACAGAGTGTTTGTCGATATATTTTGGGAATGATATTTCGGAATGGAAGCGTTAACGCACGGTAAACAGTGCGTTTTTTAAATATTGTTTAAACCAAACACTGTAGATTTTTAAGGACTGTGTCATAAACTCTAAGATAAAAAAAGGAGCTTAAATATCTAGATTAAGGACTAAAAAAATGGAAACTAGAAATTTACTTGTCTAATTTCAGATCACTATCCCACAACTGCAAAAACCAAATATTAGTTCATCAGGCCATAACTCCACAGCTTTTAGTAAAATACTTCTCAAGCGGCAGCCTACCGTCCCATATTCGGGTAACGCTGCCAGCATTGTCTCCTACCATGGAATTGGGTACGATTATCAGCTGGGAGAAAAAAGAGGTAACACTTTGATTGCAAGATTTTGTGAAATTCGGAGCCAGAATGTTTATTTTTACAGGGCGACAAGTTAAATGAGGGGGATTTGCTAGCAGAAATCGAAACAGATAAGGCCACCATGGGCTTTGAGACTCCAGAAGAAGGGTATCTGGCGAAGATTTTAATTCCAGCTGGTTCCAAAGACGTTCCCATTGGCAAACTGGTAAATCTTTCAATTAGAACGTTTAGTATTTTGGCTAAACAAACAAAATTGGTCAAAAAGATTAAATAGTTTACAGTTTTTTGTACTAAAGCACGTTTAAAGAACTTGCAGATGATTGTTTTGCAAATGTGATAAAGTACATACTCTTTTAGTCCGTCAATTAAAGAAATGATTCATTTTGTCGCATTTTCAGAACAATTATCTACACATTTTTGAAATAATCGGAACTACAAACCTTTCCATTTTTTGAAGCTTTAGATCTGGCTTTATATTCGGTTCACTATCATACAATCTTCCTATTTAGAAGATCTGCACTATGAAAAGTCATCATGTATATTCAAAATATTGCGATCTAAATTTGAGTTAGCAGCAATTTATTTGCGTTTTTGAAACATGATTATTTCTTTTTTTTGTGCAGGTCTGTATCATTGTGGAAAATGAAGCCGATTTAGCAGCATTCAAAGACTTCAAAGATGATGAAGTTGCGGCTCCCCCTAAAGCGGCTGCACCTCCGCCACCTTCTGCTGCACCTTCAGCTCCAGCACCAACAGCTGCAGCACCTGCAGGTAGTGTATTGTAGTTCTTCCTCAATTAGTTTCGGTACCGCCAACGTTAATTGTTTTAGCCAACTCTTGCGACTGGAAATCACTCATTAATTATTACATAATGTTTATCCAAGCAAAGTTATCAGGCAGCGTCAAGGTTAAGCGGCACGGGTTTTTGAACTTGTACTATTGAAAAAATGAAGTTTTTAGATAATAATAACGGGAAATGTAAATTTGTTGATATTTTGCCTAATCTATGTTGTTTTGGCAAATGTTTGAGTAAAAGTACATAGTTTTTTTCTGATACTTTATCTAATCTGATTTCAAATTTCAATGTTTGTAGCCAACAAGCTGCTCCTTTAATTTCTAAAGGTGATCACTTTTTTTAATTTTTATAATTCAAATACTGAAATGGATACTTCTTAAGTCATTCAAAAAGTTAAAAAACAAACAAGGAAAACTTGATTTGATCAATTGAGCCATTCAAAAAACCTGGAATTTCAATAATCCTATTACTTCAGGAGCACCTGCAAATGTTGGAGCAACAGATAGAGTATATGCTAGTCCTATGGCCAAAAGACTGGCTGAGCAGAGGAATATCCGACTTCAAGGAAAAGGAACGGGCCTGTTCGGTGCGATTACATCTTCTGATTTAGGAGCGCAAGGTAAAGGGCCCTAAGAATTAGAAAAACATGTACTTTTAATCGATCGAAGATGTGAAGTAGCGTTCCTAGTTCGGTGATTGCCTGCCTTCTTAAAACAACTAGTTAATGTGACAAATTTAATTATGCAGCTCCCGCGGCTGGCGCTCCATCCGCTCCAGCTCCTGGCGCACCTTCAGGGCCAGCTGTATCGCATGCAGCTCCTTCCGCTCCAGGCCCATATGTTGACATTCCAGGTATCTATCGCTGAACTTTAGTTGGATTATGGTCGTCAATCAAAAACTTTTTTTTCAGTGTCCAACATCCGCAAAACTATCGCTAAAAGGCTGCTGGAATCGAAGCAGCTGATCCCCCATTATTATCTCACTCAAGAAATAAACGTCGATGCTCTGCTGAAAGTCCGCGCAAAATACAACAAGAAATTGGAAAAATCCGGCGTGAAACTCAGCGTTAACGATTTTATTATAAAAGCTACCGCTGTTGCATCTCAGAAGGTTGGTTGTGAATTGTGTTTCTTAGGCCAACAAATTAAAACTTCTGGAATTTTTCAGGTGCCCGAAGCGAATTCACACTGGTTTGACTCAACCATAAGACAGTATAAGAATGTCGATGTTAGTGTGGCAGTTTCCACCGATAAAGGCCTAATCACGCCAATCGTCTGGGAGGCCAACAATAAAGGCGTCGTACAAATCAGCCGGGCAGTGAAAGAATTGGCTGCCAAAGCCAGGGACGGAAAACTTCAACCACAAGAGTTCCAAGGTAGTTTGAACAAAGTTCTCTGGATTTGAGTAATCGTTAATAGAAAAAAATTGCTTATAGGAGGCACCATTAGTGTGTCCAACTTGGGCATGTTTGGTATTAGTCATTTTAGTGCCATCATCAACCCGCCTCAGAGCTGTATCCTTGCTATAGGAACGAGCGTTACGAGGTTGGTGCCGGATGAATCCAAAGAAAAAGGGTAAGTGATTTATTAAACTATTTTTACGTTGTAGTCAAAGTTACCCCCATTCTTTCCAGCTGATTTTACGTTTCAATCTTTAACAATAGCGGTTTTTTTCTAGATTCAGAGAAGCCCAATACTTGACAGTAACTCTTAGTTGCGATCATCGAGTTGTCGATGGTGCCGTTGGTGCGAGATGGCTGCAAGCCTTCAAGGAAGGTCTAGAAGACCCTGTTTCCATGATTTTGTGAATTTAAATGTTCGAACAATCAAAGATAAGACCGTAATTTATTACTGCGAACCGCCAGAACTGGTTTTGAGAGAAAAGCAAAATTCCTCAAATCAGTCACAACATAATTTGCATAATTATTTTTTTGTTGTGTTTGAGTTGTACAGCCTTTTAAATTCTAAGATTATGACTATATTATTTTAATATAGCTTGTTATTTTTTTTCTCATCTTCAATTTATGAATTTAAAGGCTTGTACTGCATATTTAACGTCTTTCAGTTCATCAATACATGTTTTATTGCATCAAGGGCAAAATTACATTTATAGAAAGATTGACGGGGTTGATGGTTTATGGTAAAAATTGCATAATTTTCAACTTCGTCCATAGCATGTCGTTTTTCGAAATTTTCATAATATTTATTTCAGTGAATATTTATGAGGAGTTTTTATCAATTTTCCTCTAATGAGTTGGAAATAGGCGAATCTGCATTTATCAATATAACCAGCTGTCACTTGAAATAATGCCAATCCAAATGTTACTTTTACCTCAGCTGTCAGATATTTGTTACGTTGATTTTATGTGTATATAATAAAATTATTAAATCATTGTACAGTCTTTTGGTTATATTTATTATATACTTTTTGCTTTGTCTGCCAGTTAGTTTTTTTGCTTTTGTTTGCGAAGTAAATAAGAACGAAGGGTAGTTTTTTTAAACTATTTTTTATCTTCGATGACTATTAAAATAATAAGTATTTTGATTGAGTAAACTATGGTTTCGTCGTGCGATTGATAAACATGCGTGCGTTCGTGCTCACTTTGAACGCGATGCCATTGTTTTTGGCCGCATGGACGGCAATATTCTTTTTGTTTATAAGTTATGTTGTTTATCTTCGATGAGAATTTTTAAATCGCAATATTCACATCAGATTAATGTAGGAAAAGGCTGGTAAACATAATTTGGTTCAGTTTGGAAGCTTTCAAATGCGTCCCTCACAGTCGAATCAGTTTGTAGCTCAATGTCGGTTGAAAGGCAGTGCGCGATCGCCGGCAAAAATTCAAAAATGTTGCGGACTTTTCAATTTTCTCGCGAAAAGTTGTGGATTTTTTATTTTTGAATGCTTTTCTCCCCAGTTTCGTGCTATTTTCCCTACCGGTAGTGCGGTTTCAACAAAAAAACGCATTTTCCCCAGACTGGAAACTTCCTGACGTTTACTGTCAAGCTGGAATGGCCATCTTTCGCGTTGCCACTATAGTAGAAAATGCTTCAATCTTAAAAAATACTTTATTTGTTACATATGGCAACGTCGATTTGCAGATCGCATGCGCTTTATTGTTTTCCTGATTTTCAGTTTTGGGTTGAGACATGTCAGAATTTCTCTGTCACTCCAGACTTAAAAGCGAGTGATTCATTAATTTATTTGTAGTATTTGTGTGAAAGTTCAATCGATGATGTTTGTGCGGTCTTAAAAGACATTTTAGCAAATAGTTCGGTTAAAACGCGACAAATCTGTGATTAAAATACATTAGTTCTTAAGTGGGCAAAGCAAAATGAGGACTTTGTCGTCAAAGCTGTACTTCTATGGATTGCTGGTGTTTATTTGTACGAATGAGGTAAGTGATAAGTTTTCCTATTAGTTGTATATTACATAGGTGCATTAGTAATCCGCCCATGCATGGTTGGCTTACCAGGTTTAGCCTGGATGCGTTACAATTAGATTAAAACCCAGGCATCATGTTCACACTGAAAATCTGAGTGAAAGTTCCATAATTGAAGATCTTTTGGCAAATGAATGTTCTTTCTTGAAAACGCATTACATCTGTGGTATCAAGTATAACCAATTACAATTTTGCGGAAAGTCAACTATCAGACGTGTACTTAATTGTTGAACTTTGCTTGGTAAAATTATGTCCTCTAGTCTAAAGGTGAAGGTAGAAAAAGTCCCCAATTAACTTATATAGCATCCTTTTGCAAAACCGCCTTACTTAGAGCAATACCTAACACATTTATGCACAACTTTTGTCTGAGATAAGAAAGTCATTCTCTAACGAACGCCTTAAGTATGAATTGAATTTAACATCCGTTGTTGTTGAGTTATTTTCTTTGTCGTACTTAATCTTTATTGTATTTCTGTCATGTGATAAAAACCTGCCTGATTAACTGCTATCAATAGGTTTCTAGCAGTGTGCATATTGTAATGTATAAAAATTGATGCATTACTCACAATTGGTATAAAAAGAAAGGAATGAGCATTTAATGAAACATTCAACGAATATAACCAACACACCATAGTAGATAAGGACACGAACCCAATCATCAAAATTTTATTTGATGATAGAGGATCACTTCAGAAGTGACTCATAATATTCTCACGAAAAGATGGAGAAATATTGTTTATGAATAACTCAGAAAAGCGAATAGGCCTAAAAGATTTCTCCGCCTAAGAAAAGTAGTGGAAAAAATGGAATGGAACAGTCAGTACTAGTTTAGTTTCTTCAGAAGTGAAAGTTGCTCAATTATTCAAATATATCTTGCGTGCTTTTCAGGACAAAATTCGAATGTTACAATAAAGATTACCAATATTGAAATTTTAAAATGTCCAGGTCTCAAGTGAATTTGCCTTCACATTCCTCTGCAACAGGCTTTATCATAGTTATACTATAGTTTCACCTAAAGCCTTGTCCACTAAGTTATTGGGATGTCACATCTTGTATTCTTTTGTTTCTTACCTATTTATCTTGTAATTTAAAAGTTTTATTATGTCTTGGAATAGTCTCTCCTATTGAATTTAGATCTCAAGGTTTGTTCACGATGTTCATGTTTTAATAATATTATTTTTTGCAATAAATTAAAAAAATTGGTCATCTAATCAAGAATTTAACTACAGCGAACACGGAGAACTTGGTTTTTGTTCAAACAAACACAAATTTAGTATTGTGTTTTAACAACAATTGTTCTTGCCCTTTGAAAACTTTGAAACTGGATAAGTTTTGATTGACGCCAGCGAAGTAATTTCTGTTTGAAGCTATATCTAACCCAATTCTTTTTTGTCAGTCCGTGTTTTTACAAAAAAGAAGTGACTTCAGGTAAAGTTCCTACACGGTGGAATATGAAACAATGCTAAATTTTTGAGTTTAGCCTGCTCCAGTTGAACAAAAAACCTTATCTTGGATTTCCACTCTCTAGAAACTTTATCTAAAGTGCGAAATTTTTGCAAAAACCTGGAGTGATAGAAAAATGATTGGACTCGATATCGCTTCAAACATAATTTCAATCGCTCCAGCAATTAGAATTTATTCATGTTCAAAGTTAGGGTAAAATTGGCGGTGATTATTTTGTTAAACAGTTTAGTTCAGTTCACGCACACCCAAGGCGAGTCTTTTTCTGACCTATAAATGGTTTTGGAATCTGAGTCAATAATGTCTGAAATAAGCGAATTGATGCAAGCCATTTCATTGCGTCAAATATGTACACACAAATGTACTTCATCTGAATATTAAATTCACTACATACATATATCATTATCCTTGGCCACAACCTTGTGCCAATATCATGTAGGTACACGCAAACATGTAAACATTTTTTTATTTTATATATGCGGTCGTTTTCTACGGTTAATCGTTTTTTCAAAAGCAGCGAACATTTGGTTTTTTTGCCGATTTGGAGTAGCTAGTGGCCATCATTTCTATCGATTAAGAATCGTATAGAAAAGTGCAAGCAACAGTGGAAGCTCACAAAACAACAAAAATCCGACAGGAAAAGAAATTATGCAGTGATAAGAACTTGACGAACTCAAACTCTACAAGGAACTTCTGTTGGACAATACCGAAGAGGAGGAACTAGATGACGCAGAAATAGAGAGCAATTGCTTAGAAAGTGACCAGAAACTGCACATTTAAGAAATGTTGTGTTTATATTTAATAAAGTCGTTTTAAAGAGTTTATTTTGTTTTTATGTTAGTTTTGAGTTAATCTATAATGATGGCTTTGATTGTTGTTTCTTCGAAAAGAAGAAAATGAAAGTTGAAGAATAACAAGTAAAACAAAGTAGCATGCGAACCTTGAATAAACCGTCGCATCAAGTGTTCAATGTTAAGAATAAAGTATATTTGCTGCAGCGAACTATTTCCAAGACATTTATAAAAACGATTCATTAATAATTAAACATTCTTTCGAAGATAGTTTTTCTCAGTAATCGGTTTACTGAATTCCCGTAACATAAAGCGTAAATAAACCTTTCATTTACTGAATTGATGTAGCGAATGACTTAACAATTAATGTATAAACTTGTGAGTCACCTGACAATTGATTGGAAAACATGCACCATATCGGAAACTAACTGTTTTATTTTCGCATAATTTTGTAATCTGCAATTTAATTTTGCATTTATTGCTGTTTTTTTCCTCTGTGTAAATCAGGTGATTTTGAAAGTTTCAGAGGACATTTATCAATGCAGTATGCATGTGATTTGTGGATTTTATTGATTGATTTATTCAATTATACCTACAGGATGCTGTGGCTTTGCTCTTTATATCTCCAAAATTTTTAAAAACCTCTTATTTTAAATGGATCTTCCTACAAGTTTAAGTTTTCCCAAAGATTCTGAACAATTTGTATGTATGAAGTTTTAGCTTTATCGCTACCGGTTTTGGCAATATTTAGGTTTTAATATTAAACATCTAATAATAAGCCAGGCATATCGATTCATTCTTTTTCGTTATTAGAAAGAAGTCTTCTTGGTTATTAAAAAAACAACACTCTTATATTGGCGGTCGTACTCGTTAAAATACTTTGGCCGTTTTTCTCTCGACAATGGCGAAATGAATATGCAAATTATACTGATGCCTTAATGCGGCTAAGATAAAATAAATGTTCACACAGAAGGTCAACTCAGGTAAAGAGGTATTGATTAAACGTGATACTTTTTCACACGATCTTCATAAGCACCTAATGAAAATTAATTGAAGTTAATGGAATTGAATTAGAGCGGTCGAGACAGCTTGTTAATCCAATAAAATTGACTCTATTCAAGCTTTGTTTGATTCGGGTAAAAGTGTGAGTTTATTTCCTCAGGCAACGCCGTATCGTTTTCCGTTCATTTTTACCTGGTTTTTTCAACCACAAATTCACAGTTATAAAATTGCTTGTGCTTTTTTTCAATAATTTCAGTGTTTAGTCTATCGTTGGGTTTTCCTCTGATGCTTTAAAATTTGCTTGATCTCGCAAACAACGCAAGCTAAATAGAATATCCTAAATTTATGGGTGATGCAATTTTGAGCTTGTTGCCCGATCCACCTGTTCCCCGATCGTTAATCTAATCTTAGGCTGTTACAAAACTGAACCGAACTCAGATTAATACAAACTTTTAAATCTCTATTTATTTTGTAATCGTTTTTCTTGCGACTAAACATTTCGTACATACGCAGGTGTTTTATTATTGTCTATAATGATGTTTGCGCGTTGGATTAAGGTTCATTGAAAAATTTCCTGGACTAAAATTGCACCTCTCTAATTAATTTCTAATTGTACTTTGATTGACATTGTTATTTAAATGTTTTTTTGTTACATTGTTGTAAAAATTCTTTATGGAGGATAATGAGGGTTTTAGT